GGTGAACCAGGATCATGCCACGGCGCTCCAGCCTGGGTAACAGAGTGAGACCCCGTCTCAAACAAAAAACCAACCAACCAAAAAAAAATGTGAATGGTCTCTAGGTATGTGTCTGTCAGGCCCCTTATCTCAACAGGCATGCCCAGGTAAACCAACCCATAAACAATTAATATGGTACAGAGGGGTAAGTGCAAGGGAGTTGTGGACAAAATGTTACTGAGTCGCAAAGGAAAGGTGATGCCTTTGGCACTCACCCTGATATTTACAGCTCTCCCTCCAGTTCTTAGTCTCTGCTTCCATCTTTCAGGATGCTCAAGGGTATGTGGACGTGGCCAGGGCTAGTTTCCAGGAGAATTACTATAGAAAGAGTTTCCCTTCCCTTCCCTTCCCTTCTGTTCCCTTCCCTTCCCTTCCTCTGCCCTCCCCTCCCTTCCCCTCTCCTTTCCTTCCTTTCCTCCTCCCTTCCTTCCCTGTCCTCCCCTTTCATTCTTACATTTATTTTTTAATTTATTCAACAAATATTTATTATGCAGGTACTATTTACCAGGCTGGGGATACAATGGTGACCAATACAAAAGTTTTTTTTTTTGCCCTCAAAGAACCTATATTCCAGTGGTTCAGCCAAGTATTCATTAAAGGACCAGATTCTAATACTCCGTATAGAATATTTCAACTACAGTCAAATACTCCTGCTGCTGTCTTAGCAGAAAAGCCCCTTTTGGCTCCTTGTAAGCCCTTTAACTCTTTAGTGGCCCAATGTGAGTTTTATTAACATCATGCTGTGTTCCTAGGAGGCCGTCATTATGTACTTGTTGGTCAGTTGGCTGACTGTGCAAGTTTTCTAACTGATACTGTACTTTCCCTTTAAAATTTCATTTTCAACATCTTGACTTTTATCTCATTTTCAGGCAGAGGCTCCACAGGAATTGACTCAATGGTGGTTTCAGTTCAATATCTATAATAAGCAAATCCCTTAAACATGTATTTCTGGAGGTTATGCTCCACCCTAGCAACTTAATTTCAGAGTAACAATGAACCATACATTTTTAAATGAACACTTCAAAGCACCTATAGGCATAGAGTCAAGTCCACTGCATCTGAGTAATCCAAAATTTAAACCACGCTAAGTAAGTTCTTTTGCACGTTCCTTTTCTTTCAAAGAGCTCAGAGCAACTTGCAAGTTTTATCTCCTTGATCCTCACATTATGCATCAGACGTTCACAATGGGGTTTCCTCATTGCCTCGCCCTCTGTGAGTCTGCAGGCAAAAGGATGGATTTTTATATTCAAAGACGTTTTATGCCTTTGCATTTGAAAGATGAACTCATAAATACTTCTTTATTCTTTCTCTATTTTCTCTTTCTTTTTCTATCTCTCATCTGTCTTTCTCCTTCATTTTCTATCTTTTGCTTCGCTTTCTTCAAATAGTTTGCTATTTCTGAATTGAAAGAATAGATCCCAAGCATGGCTCATTCTGGGCTCAAACAGTTCTCCTGCCTCAGCCTCCAAAGTAGCTGGGATTACAGATGCCCGGCACCACACCCGGTTAATTTTTATATTTTTAGTAGAGACAGGGTTTCACCATGTTGGCCAGACTGGTCTCGAACTCCTGACCTCAAGTGATCCACCCGCCTTGGCCTCCCAAAGTGCTGGGATTACAGGCATGACCCACCGCATCCGGCCTGGTCATTCTTAATGAAACAACTGCAGGAGGTTTTCTGTGCTCTTACTTGCCTGGCGGTCCATTACCTCTCATCTGGAAGTTTCCTTGTTTCCTCACACTCCTCACCTTTCCCTGTGTGGACCACAGGTTGGATTTTGAAAGCTGTGCCCTGTTCAGTTGATCATGATTCATTTTCAGAGCTGCCTGTCTGGTTATGGATCCCCAATTGCTCCTGTAAGTCCCTCTTTGGGCCACAAACCTTTCTGGAGAAAGAGCCTCTTTCTGGCGAGTGGCAGACACCCCTAGATCTCTTCCCCATGGATTTGGTGACCTGCCCTCTCTAACGGTCACTGGCACTGTGGACTCTTTAAAGCTTGTTTGTCCTGGAGATGGCTTCAGGGGCCACTGGCTCCCTGCTGTCAGTGACTCTTTTCTGAAATAGGGGCAAGGAGATAAGGAGAGTTGACGTTGCCGGGTAATGACCTTGCTTGGACTCACTCGAGAGAGACAGTGGTGAGGGGAGCCTGGCAGGTATCTTGCTTGGAGGGGCCTGGCAGAATGATGAATGGGCTGGCTCTCTGCCCCAGGGAGAGTGGGCAGTGTCCCCTGTGTCCCCAGAGGGCAAAGGAAGAAGACAGTTGACTCACATGGAGAGTTTTCCAACTTTTTGGCACAATGCTTTGAGATATTAAAGTTTGGGGGGTCATTTAGTATTTATTAAGGTGTCTACTGTGTACAAGATGTCACTTTGTCAGCTTTCACCCCAAAACACTCTATTCATCAGAAGACTAGAGACAGTGGGAGTATCAAGGCTACGAATGCACTGAAGTCATGAACATCTCTTGAGAACTTTGCATGTGCCTGGCTCTGTGTTAGGTTTCGTGGGACCACAACAACAAAAAAAGTACGACATAGTCGTTCTCTCTTGTGTTTTTGAATTATGCTGGGCCCCGAGGCAGGCTATATGAAGCAGCTACAAAACAGTGTCTGGCTGTGTAGAAATGAGCTTCACAGCGAAATGAATTTGCAACATTATTTAAAAATTGCAGTGAAACTAGAAACACCCTGATGTCCATCAGAACGGGAGTGCTTAAAAATGATGATATTGGCCAGGCTTGGTGGCTTATGCCTGTAATCCCAGCACTTTGGAAGGCTGAGGCGGGTGAATCACTTGGGCCAACATGGTGAAACCCTGTCACTACAAAAAATACAAAAATTAGCTGGGTGTGGTGGTGCACACCTGTAGTCCCAGCTGTTTGGGAAACTGAGGCAGGAGAATGGCTTGAACCTGGGATGCGGAGGTTGCAGTGAGTTGAGATCACGCCACTGCACTCTAGCCTGGGTGACAGAGTGAGACCCCATCTCAAAAAAAAAAAAATGATATAACCAAACTGTAGACTATTTTGAACCTGTTAAAAAGATGCCATAAATAGAACTATAGGCGATGACATTGAAAGATTGCCAAGAGTATTTGTGAAGTGGAAAAAAAAAGGATCTTACTTTCATTATGAGCCACTTATGTTAAAAATAATTATGTATGTTTATGAAGGTAGGTAAATGCATTGAAGAGAGACTTTCATAATTTTTATGTGTACTTTTGTTTTTCTGTTTCATAAGGATAATGTATTTATATGTTCCTCATGTAATCTAAAAGATGAACAAGGAAAGCAATGAGGATTATATGTGATTAGAAGAGAGAAGGGACAGAGTGAGTATTCTCCTTCTCTATTCTATGAATATTGAGCCACTCTCTTATTTGAACGTAAGACGAACTTGGCTGGAGTGCTTCTTCTCAGGCCTGGGCCTGGGGAGTAGCCACAATAATCAATATGACTTTAAAAATGGCTGACTCTGCTCGTGAATAACACCCAGGTGGAGGGATCCACCATTTGTCTTCATTTTCTCCTTCTATCCAAAGTGTTTGTGTTAATGGGGGTGAGGGTTGGCGATGTAACTTTTGGCTCCTTGTCCTCAGGAAAGTCATAACATGACTGTTTAAAGTTCTTTTCTGCAGTTACTTTTTTAGACCTCGACAACTGCTGAGATATGAAAGAGCTGATATTGTATTTATGGCTCCAATTTTATTTTACAGTGATACTGGCCACATACTAATAAAACATAGGTGCATTATGGTGATGTAGTTTTATGGCATATAATTTCTAAATATGTAAGTGCTCAGGAGCTATTTGAAGGTATATGTTCTTTCTTATAACAGATTATATACTCATTGAAGTAGGGAGTCTTGTCTTTAGCTGGTGCGTATCCCCTATCATGTAGAATGGCACCTTTTAATATAATGGACACTAAATAAATGCTTGTTGAGTGAATAAATCGTTGGATTAATGAATAGAGTGAATAGTGTCTGACTTACTGTTTTAATAAGAAACATACAGAAAACAGAGTCACCTCAATATAAATGAGGTCATAGTTTGAAAAACCATATAAAATATATCTGTCTTTCCAGTGAAATTCCTTGGACCATTTTTTAAACTCTGAAATTTTTCTACACAGAAAAACACAGAGGATAATATAACAAGTGCAAATGCCTGAGAAACACCCATGTGTCCCATATCCATTTTCTTTTTTTTTTTTTCTTTTTTTTGAGACAGAGTCTCGCTGTGTTGCCAGGCTGGAATGCAGTGGCATGATCTCAGCTCACTGGAACCTCTGCCTCTTGGGTTCAAGCAATTCTCCTGCCTCAGCCTACCGAGTAGCTGGGATTACAGGAGTGCACCACCACGCCCAGCTAATTTTTGTATTTTTCTTTTTAGTAGAGATGGGGTTTCACCACGTTAGCCAGGATGGTCTTGATATCTTGACCTTATGATCCGCCTGCCTCGGCCTCCCAAAGTGCTGGGATTACAGGCATGAGCCACCATGCCCGGCCCCCATATCCACATTTAACAAATGCTACCAATTGTCATGTTTCCGTTTGATTTTTTTTGCTTAAGAAATAAAACATTTCAGTTACATTAAAGCTCCATTTGTCTGCTTTCAAATCCCATTTCCCTGTTTCACATCTCAGAGGTAACTGCTACTCTGTAGACTGCTACATGTGTTTTTATAATTTTACTTTTTTTTTTTTTTTGAGTCAGAGTTTTGCTCTTGTTGCCCAGGCTGGAGTGCAGTGGTGTGATCTCAGTTCACTGCAACCTCTGCCTCTTGGGCTCAAGTGATTCTCCTGGCTCAGCCTCCCAAATAGCTGGGATTACAGGTGTCCACCACCATGCCCGGCTAATTTTTGTATTTTTAGTAGAGACGGGGTTTCACCATGTTGGTGGGGATGGTCTCAGACTCCTGACCTCAAGTGATCCACCTGCCTTGGCCTCCCAAAGTGAGTCACTGTGCCTGGTCTATACTTTTACTTTTTATGTAGTAGTATATACTCTCTTCTCTCATTATTTATTATTAATCTATATTTTGAATATTATTTATCATCTCAATCTATTTCTCTATGTTGATAATGCAGGTCTAGTTTATCCATTTTAACTGCTCTGTAGTATTCCATGATTTATTTATTGTCTGTTAATAGACACCTATTCTCCTATTGGTGCATGTGTAGGTTTTCCCCTCAGTTTTTCTTGATTACTAACAGTGCTGTCAGCAACATCCTCATAGATGCTACCTTTTGCTTATAAGAGCATTCCTCTTGGGTATGTAACCTAGAAGTGAAATGGCTTGACTGTCGGAGAATTATATTTTCAACTTTACTAGATATTGATCAATTGTCTTCCAAAAAGGCTACACTAATTGACAATCTCAACCAGCAGTGCAGGGGAATGACTGCTTCTGTATAGTCTCAATAACACTTGGTATCATCAGAGCCTTACACTTTTATTTTTTGAATAGGAATTTATTTCTGGTGGGTGATGGCTGTTACAAAGTTCAACTCCTGCCAATGTGTCTCATGCCCCAGATTTGTGTATTGTCATGTAGCCATCTTACCATTGCTAAAGCCATTCCTTTTATTCGGAACACATTTCTTGCCTTTGATTGGCAAACTCCTACTCATTCTTCAAGTCTCAACTAAAATGTCCTCTGTGGCACTCTCTCAGATTCCCCTGGGTCATTTGTGGTTCCCTCCCCTTGCTCCCATAGCTCTCTGTACAGATCTCATTGGTTGTACTTATCGTGTATTATTATTATTATTATTTTCTGTGACTGTTTCTGTCACTGAACTGTGATAGTCTCCAGGACAGGTATGATAATGTACCATGTTCACGTTAGACCCCCTTGCATTTAGCCCAGGTACAGTTCAGAAAATGTTTGTTACAGAAATGCATGAGTAAATAAACGAATAAGCCAATCCAACAAAACCTGCCAAGTAGTCTTCTAGGTGTTGGGGATGTAGCAGAGAACCAATCTGTTAACTTTCTGTTCTTGAGCTTACATGTATGGGGTGGGAATGGGGAGAAAAAAGAGACAGACAGTATACATCCTTCTCCCAATCAACAGAGACCCTGCCGGGGATAAAAACAGCAGGGAAAGAAGGCAGAGAAGGGTGGCAGAGAGGGCAACAGATGCTGATCTGTCCTGCCTCACATCCCTTCAGCTCACCTTGACTTCAGCTGCAGCTGAGGAAGATGTCCTTTGCTTAGGACAACTTCTCATCTCTGGCACTTTCTGCTCAGAGCGTTCTCCATAGTAAGGAGCTGCTTATACTGCTGTTTCTCTTCAGGACCAGCCTGTAGGTGCACCAGCCCTTCTTGCAAGCAGGCTGGGTTCTGATTGCCCACAGTGATCACCAGCTCCGTCTTCTGCCCTTCATTGGCTTTCTCTTGTACCACCTTCACTTCCCCATTCCCTTATTCCAGCTTCCCTGAACCACATCTCAAATAAATATTCTGCTTCCAAGGGCCAGGGCCTTAGGCTTGAGGAACCCAAACCAAGACAGAGAATGTTGGAGGGGCTGCTAATTGCTAAAGGGTTTGTTAGGAAAGCACTCTTTCAATGGGGGACCTGACTGAAAAGAGAGTAAGCTTGTAGACACTTGGAGGAAAGGTGTCTCAGACAGAAGGAGCAGCAAGTCTAACTCTAGCCCTGACCCTGACGGGGGCGTGTGCTTGAGAAACAGCTAGTAGAAACAGCTGGAGCAGAGGTGAACAAGGGAGAAAACTGGAGATGAGATCCAAGTAGGAGCAGGGATCCTGTAAGCCAAGCTAGGGAGTTTACAATTCATTCTGAATGAATGAATTGGATGGATCTGAACAGAGGAGAGGCAGGATGTAACCGTAGTTTGAGATGAATGCATACATGCATACATATTATGCTTGAAACAGACATAAGCAAATAATTTTGTTATTTAGAGGTTCCGATTTATGCAGATCTGATGGGCATTTGTATTTCATGAGACAGTGTTGAATTACAACGATTTTGGTCAGAACCGATTGGCTTACATGCTTAGACAGCCCTGAAGGTAGTTGCTCTTAAAAGTTGCTTTGCTTTGGTATGTCTGTGAAAGACTGAGAAGTATGAAGTGAAGGAGGGCAGTAAGAATTTGAGGACAGTTGGAATTTCACCAGGTACAAAGAATTTTAAGAATGATATTTCGCAAAGAAATCCCAGAGTACTTCATGCTTTGTGATGGGTGAATTTAAGTCTGAGTGTCTCCTACCTGGCAATGTTTTCTAGCAAGTGAACTAAAAGTAAAGGTAAGCTTTCTTCACAAAACCAAACCCTACAGCTAAAAGGGATGTTAGCTAATTAATCAGGTCTGTGAAGAAGGAACTGTTAACTGGCAGCTCGATGACTTTTGCGTTCCTTGTGATGAAGCCATGCAGGATTGTTGGGTTCTGTGGCACTTTCTCCTTTGCAAGGTGGCAGCAGCTTTCTTTATTGCTGGATTTTTTGAAAGAGACATTTATGATGTTGATTTATTGCTTTGTTGGACCCTGATCAGATCACAGAATGGGATGATTCAGAGAAATGATCTCCCTTCCTCTTTAAGTCTTAGGAACAACAGGGCCTAGCCATACAGGGAACACTGGGAGTTTGCATGTTAAATTATTCAAGACAGCTTGTCAAGGTGTGAGCACCAAGGTGGGACCTGGAGGAAGGAAGATGATGCAAGTTCAAGAGAGAGAGAGGCCCTTTTCCTCTGTGGAAATTCAGGAATGAATAATCACACTCTAATCTGACTTTCTGTGGGCCTTCCATTCATTTGCTCTGCGTGTATTAAATTTATCATCACTGGCATAGCTAGAAAATGGAGGTCAAATTTCATTTTGGCCCACAACGTGATAAAAATGACCTGCAAAAGGTAGATGACAGGTTGTTATTTTATGCCCCGGAAAATAGCAAAGATCAGATAGATAGTGGTTCCTCACTGTCCTCCTTGATCCCCCCTTCTTGGATGGCCGATACTAACTTTCCTTAGTAATGCATCATAAATGCACATCCTGATTTGTTAGAAGGGTGGTCAAGGTTTAAAACAAGAACGATCTATTTCTAACTGGCAATTTCCATCAGTACAGGTTGACTAGGCACCTTTCACTGTGTGAGTTTTTTACAGAACCACTGACAAGTCATAAAAATATCCAGTGCTCAAGCATGACATTCAAACACACTGTCTCTTCTGCTTATAGTTCATTGACTCCCAGAAGTCATCTATTTATAGCAATTAATGATTTCTGAGCAATTAGATCCCCCTGTTTCAACAACTATCATGTTATAGGATAAATCTTGCCCCACAGAAATAAATTCAAGGGGCATGCAGTTTCAGGTATAGGAATAGAGACCGAAGTTGGTATTCACAAGGCAAAGGAAGAAACCTTTTTCTTTAGCACTTGAGATGGGCTAGGATTCCCATCAAATAAAGGCTGTCAGGAATTGTGCCTACATCAAGAATTATTTAAACTTAGAAAATGCTTAACCTCCACATGGCCTTGCCTCCAAGGATGAGAGGGATAGCACCTGCCTCTCACTGTTCCAGGGACAGCCTGGCTACTGCATTGCAGCCTTCTCCATTGGAGGTCTGTCATGAGTCAGTGCTACTTTTGCTATGCTTTGCTTTGTAAAGATCATTGCAAGGGCTTATCTTGGGTAATTGTTATTACTACCATCTGCATTACGGTGTAATTACCTTTCCAAAATGCTAGATCTCTTTAGCTGATGTTTAAAGATAAGTAATAGCCAAATAATTGCAAAGCCTTTGGATACAGAGCAAGGCTCTCCAATAAAAGGTGGGCTGTGTGTAAAGCATGGATTTCTTTCTCCTGTTTTCATTTTTCTCTCCTTCTCTGGGAGCGGTAAGGGGAAGACTGATTTTCCTCCCTAGCTCTCCCTTTATTTTTACACAGGCTTATGACTCAGTCAACATTGTAGAATTTATCCACATTCCAATCTGACATCCATCCTACACTACTACCCCATCCGGCAGGATGAGGGTGGTGGCATTCAACAAAGCTAAATTGTGTTAATCACAACTCATGGCGAGTAAATCCTCTCTCTATTCCTAAGCACCGAAAGTGAGAAATCAGATGAGACGAAATAGAGAGAAACCCCGTGGCCTCTTTTGGATGAAGCAGAGAGATTTAGTGTGGTCTCTTTCCTCCTGACTTCTAAACTTGTAAATCAGTTGTTGATTGGGACTTCTCTTGTGGCCCTTGATGCTCTGAGGTACAAGCTACAGTTTGGTGATAAAAGCTTGAGTATATTTCTTTATTAGCATAATCCATTAGCAGAACTTTAACTGCATGTGAACCTGGTGCTTATGCTATAAATTCTAGAGTATCTAGAACACAAAAAGAAGGATAGTGAAGCATAAAAATGAAAAGAACGGGAAAAATGGAAGAAAATGAAGAGAGAAATATGGATTAATTGAAAATACAGAGAGAAAATATGATAATATCATGATGGTTTGCATACAGAATAAGTATTGAATTTATGGTCTTAAAATTGCTATTTAAAACCCTGGTTGCTGTTTGATGTTCTCGTTTTTCTGGAAATTCATTTAATTAAGCAAATCTGGCCTGAATATTTACCTTCCCAAATTCTTAAACAAGTAAAACAGATGAATTACTTTGAGCATGTGGACTCAAGGAGTAGGTACAACATGCTCACAAAAGATTGAGGTAAGTACTAGCTTGTAAAATATCGTCATCTCACCTTTGCAATGAGAACTTCTGGCAGACATAATAATTAGTATTATGGAGAGACTTCATAAATGCAACCATTTGAGGGTTACTTTGTGCCACCAACCCTATTAGGCTTTTTATTAGAATTATATCATTTAATCTTCACCACAGCTATATGGGTGAAACTATTATTCTTTCGATTTTACAGGTTAGAAAACTAAGCCTTAGAGAGTCCAAAATCATATTAGTTAACAGAGCTGGGATTTGATTTACCTAAAGCAGGTGTAAGAGTCTGTACTCTTCACTGTTTCCATATAACACAGGTACTCTATTCATTTAACAGAGTAGATGAGATATCTGTATCTATATCCATAATCATACCTGTAGCTATACAGATATATATTCATACATACATAAGTTTATCTGTGATTGTCCCAGTATGACCATGGGACACTGTAGCTATTTGTCTACTATTATAAGCCAGGATTTATACTGGACAAACCAAGAGGAATGCTAGTTTTGATCTCAACAGCTAACCATATTCTCTACTCCAGAGGAGAAAGTATGCTGGAAGAGATTTTGGTTGGTTGATATTTAGTTGTAAAGCTGTACATTAGCCTCTTCTCAGTGGAAAGAGCATCCCTTGTCTGGCTCTGTTCCTACCAGGAATGAAACACTCATTTTAAAGACATTTCATATACCCTCATTTTAAGAAATATCTGCACCCTTCAGAGCCAACATTTGAGGAGGCAAATTGAGTAACTTCTTCATGGTGTGTGTGTGTGTGTGTGTGTGTGCGCGCGCGCGTGCGTGCCAGGCCGCTGGTGTCTGATCTTGGTTCTTTTAACATACCACTTTATTCCATGTTCAAGGACAAAACTGCAAGGGGTGCTATCGTAAATTCTGATACTTAGTGCAAGCGATTTAATCAGATGTTTCCTAAAGAAGCAGAGTTGGATGACAGTGGGTAGAGAAAGCACAAGGACAGTGAAGATCTCCTGGAAATTGGGAGGAGCAGTGGAATTGGTGTATAGAAAGAGGATGCTAAAGTATCAAGGTAAACACCTTCTTCCCCATTTTCTATTAAACCAGCTCTCAGTCTGGTTATTTAACTGGATTAACCAAAAAAAAAATGAGTTGTGTCAGTACAGGCTGCTTTAATGGAAGTTCCCATACCTAGCACTAAGAAAATACATTAAATACATTCTTCCTACTAGAGAGTTCCTTTCTCCCCTGGTCTATCATACTGCTTCTTTTTCCCTCTTGTTCATTGGTGCACTTTTTTTTTTTAAGATGGAGTGTTGCTCTTGTCACCCAGGCTGGAGTGCAATGGCGCAATCTTGGCTCACTACAACCTCCACCTCCCAGGTTCAAGCGATTCTCCTGCCTCAGCCTCCTGCGTAGCTGGGATTATAGGTGCCTGCCACCATGCCCAGCTAATTTTTGTATTTTTAGTAGAGACAGGGTTTCACCATGTTGGCCAGGCTGGTCTTGAACTCCTGGCCTCAGATGATCCACCCTCCTCGGCCTCCCAAAGTGCTGGGATTACAGGCATGAGCCCCCCCGCCTGGCCCCACTGGTATACTCTTGAGCACATTTCTGCTCTGTAGGAGGCGCTGTGCTTGGCTCTGGAACGCAGAGAAAAGGCACATTTCCTGCCCTCACAGAGCTCCCAGCTGAAGGGGAAAACAGTAAGTAATCAAAATGCCCTGGGCTTCCTAAAACCCAGGAAGGAATGGACTTGGCCAGGAGTTGGGATAGAGCTTGTAAAAGACGACATTGAACTCTGGGTCCCGAAACATATAGGGCATCTCTATGTGTGGAAATGGGGAAGAGCTGGAAACTTTTCAGGAAAGTGTCTTTGGGTCAGAATTTTCAGATCCTGATGAGACCTCGGGTAGCTTGCAATGAGGAAGGGTCAAACAGATCATTGCCTGGAGGTCTCACTGTGGGACACTCCCTGCCACCATATGCTTCCAGGGGAGGCTGGGGAGAGGTGAGATGTTGATGTGAGTCGTGTTCCTTTTTCTTGCATTCTTCTGGCATCTCTAGAGTTGATGCAAATTGAATTTCAAAGCAAAGGTACCACTCCATGATACTGTGGTGAATATCGAAGTCATTGAAAACTGACCTCACCTTACACATTCCCGGCCTTGCCTCCTGCTATGTGTTGGTGAGTTGCAGCTAGAAGACAGGTAAAGGCAACTCCATCAAAAGCAGATAAATGCATTTTAAACAAAGAAAATCAGAAGGCATCCAAAAAATTAAAATACCAAATAGTTTGATATTTGCGAGAAAAGTTACTAAACATCCTTAAATTTGCATTACAACTTAAATATGCTAAAGCATTTGCATTTATAGGCTCAGTAATTGATCTAGATATCTCTTCTTGCTTTCTCTTTTCTAATGTTCTGGTGCTGAAAAAACAGCATTTCTAATTTACATGTCCAAATTAGTTTCAACTTACTTATATTGAATGATAATAGATTTCTTTTTCTTATAATTAATGTTGTCTGAAAACATAATACAGATTTAACTTATCATTGTAAAGATCTTAAGATTTTAATATTTTTGCAGAGGCATAAATACAGTGTAGCTATAATTATTTCATTATGTATGTATAAAAATAGGATACGGCAAAAAGTACATGCTTTCCCTCACTGATTACTCTTAATGTCTCCCAAATTTCCTGATTTACAATATTCTCTAAGGATGTAGATTTTTCTAATTGAAGTACAGTAATTTGCATATTTTTAGACCTTGTTGACACAGTTAATTGATATGTCATTACTTATATCATGCTGAATATAATTTACACTCTTTATTCACGGCAGACTTACAATGCTGTCCTTTTGGGGAAGAATGCACAAAGTAGTGTTCTTTGTCTTGCTTTTCCTTTTTTTGCTTAGCCAGCCTTTGCTCAAGGAAAACCAAAAGGAATAACATTCATTTGGCAGGGTCTTCTGTTCAGCTAAACATTAACTATTGACATAATCTAATAAGTCTTAGCAGTGGGGGTAACGTGTACGTTTTTTCCAGCAGTTTACTATTTTCAGAGGACTTTCTCATATTATTATCTCAATTAATTGTCATATAACCCTTGAGAAAGGGATTGTTACACTCCTGTTACCAGTGAGCAAATGGACGTTCGGGGAGGCCCGAAGACTGGCCCAAGGTCACATGTCTAGAGGACTGTAGCACTGGGATGGAGCATAGTTCTTTTATCTCCAGGACAACATTTTCCCCCTCCATTGCATATTTCACCAGAGAGTAGGGAAATAGAACTAGAGGAGTATAAAAGAAAGAACAGGAAAATAAGGAAGAAATGCTAGTGGAGCCATGGATCAAACATATAAACTTAGAGGTGGGATACGAGTTCAGATCAGTGGTGTCTGTCGAGGTGTGGCTGAAAGTTTTCATGTTTCTTGGTCTTGTTGTACACATGTCCCTCTCCAAGGACTCTGAATGGGAGCGTTGTGTACTCTCTAAGGGTTAACTCCAAGCTTTTGGCTTCTTTCTCACTCCCACGGTGCTTTGCTATGTTCAAATGAGACACTCAAAAATAATTGTTGAATAAATGAATGGCATTCTTTAGAAGTTGGAGTTATGGCCTTATTGTTCTCATGCTGGACTGTGATTATGTCTGTGCCAGCTGTGGCCACCCACACCCATCCTAATCACACAGGCCTCCTCTGCGAGGTGAAATTACTTCTTGCCTTTCTCCTTTTCCTTCTTTTTTTTTCTTTTTCTTAAAGCTCCATAACTCAGGCTGGAGATTTCTCTTGTTAAGGTGGTTGGAATTTGGCCTAGCATTTACCTGGATGGCTAAAGATGTAGGATCTGCTTTTGGTGGATGTCCAAGTGTGCAATCCATCCACGCAGCTGAAAATCACAACAAATGGAGTCCAGAAAGCATGCAAAGGCGAGACATTATCGTATAATGGAAAAAGCATCGGCTTGGGAGCAAGGCAGACCTGGGCATGGCTCCAAACTCTGCCATTTGCAAGTCATGTAACCTTTGCCAAATCACCTCCCTGAGCCTCAGTTTACTTTTCTGCACAGCAGGACTCTAGTTAATGCATCCCTCTGAAGGCAGCTCAGAGACCAGGTATGTAAAATATGTAGCCTGGTACCTGGCTCCTACTGGATACTGTTTCTCTTCCCTCATTCACGTCCAAGCTGACGTTGATCCCATTTAGATGAGTTGTAACTTCTGCTCTGAGAATACATAGAGCTCGATTCTTCATTCACGGGCGTGGGATCATATAAGTTTTTCATGCCTTGTTAATATCACTGGTTTGTGTTGAGAGCTGTTGGGCAGTAACTTCCGTCCACGGTGTGCACAAATAGAGCGGCCACCGCTTTCTTCACCCAGCAGCTGTCTAGTCCTTTTATCTCGTGGAATCTGCGGAACCACTGAGCTGCCCTGTTTTACGGAAGAGGGCAGTATTCAGGCACCCTACAGGATTCTTCTTTCTCTTCATTTGAAACCCTCTTTCCTCTTTCCAGGACAAACTGAAGTTCCTCTCGAGGGGTTGCAGCTGTTGATCACAGTCCACCAGCAGTGGGGAATGGGCTGAGCTTGAGAAGGGAATGAGGGTCGAACACTGGCTGGAGTTTGCCTCTATTTCTAGAGGAATGAGCTGGTAGAATTGAAAATGCCCAGGCTGTGAAAACCTGCAGCTGAATCCTGCCTTTCACACAAACTAACTACATGGCATGGGCGAAGCCACTTCATCTCTTCAAGGCTAAGTTTCCCTTTTTGTAAAGTGGGAATAATAAAACCTAGTTAATGGGGCATTGAGAAGATTAGAACTTGGGAGTTTGTAGGGATTCAGGAAATAATAGAGATAATTATTATATTATAATTTTTATTTTTATTTTTATTTTTTTTGAGATGGAGTCTCGCTTTGTCACCCAGGCTGGAGGGCAGTGGCGCAAACTCGGCTCACTGCAGGCTCCGCCTCCCGGGTTCATGCCATGCTTCTGCCTCAGCCTCCAGAGTAGCTGGGACTACAGGCGCCCGCCACCACGCCCGGCTGATTTTTTGTATTTTTAGTAGAGACAGGGTTTCACCGTATTAGCCAGATGGTCTCGATCTCCTGACCTCATGATCCGCCCACCTCGGCCTTCCAAAGTGCTGGGATTACAGGCGTGAGCCACCGCACCTGCCCATATTTTATTTTATTTTTTTAGATGACTTACAGGCCTGTTATATCCATGGGTGGAGTTGGAAGTCACTCATGTATTGTGATTTTACCAAATACCAAGCCTGGATTGCAGCAAAGAAGCCGATTACTGGCCAAAGGGTCACAATTTGCACAGATCTTCTGAAACTCTAGACATTTCAAGTGTGTCACAGCATCATGGTACCTGGGAGAGAACCTCCTTAGTAGGTACTACGTTAGCAAGAATTTATTTATTGCATCAGCCACTTCCCATCCTTGTAAGCTAGCAGGAAGTGGCAAGGGCTTGCACAAATGAAATACAGAGTAGGTGTGCTTGGGAGGAGGATGCCAGGACATGGTGGAAGGCACTGCTGCTGGGTGAAATTCTTTGGTGGGGGGCTCAGGGCAGTCTGGTGGGGACACCGTGGAGCATAGTAGGCAGTGAAAGAGAGATAGGGCTATCCATGACTTAATCCATAAACTAAATACATGAAGAGTGAGGGTGCCAAGTGCTAAGACTCTGGACTAAATAAAGGTGGCCTCTCTTCTCAAGGTGCTTCCCACCATAGGAACAAATTGTGAATGCAAGTCAGAAAGATAACAACCTATGCTAGGAGTGATACAAGAAATGTAAGTGAAAAAATGGGGAGTTCTCATTTGTAGTAGAGGAAATTAGGGAGGGCTTCCTGGAAGAGGTGACATTAGAAAAGCCTGGAAGTGTGAAGAGGACAATTGCCGAGTGCTTCTTATTTTATAGTCTTGTCAGAGGGAAGCTATAGCACTTAGAGCTTTCTCAGGGGTGTGGCGGAACTTCCTGATGGGTTTATGTTTCTGTTTACATGCGCAGAGTGAAATGGAGGATTCAGGTATCTATTTCAGGACCATTCTG